GTATTTTAAAGATGTAGGAAGCGAAGGAAAACACACTGAAAGAAGGCCATCAGAAAAGAGGGGAGCGTAAAGCGGCAGGTGTCGGTTAGGACATCACACATAAGCATATTAGTAAGCAGTGATAATTTGCACTGCATATATACAATAGATTTCAGTGCTGATAATAAGTGGCCAGGGTGCATAGGTAATTAGGGTAGCATAGTGGTGGGAAGGGATGCATGCAGTTTTGCTGCATGAAAACATATGGGATAATTCAGTGCTGACAAAAGGGCAACTCTACTATAGCACAGCTGATAAAGGTGGCATTTAAAGGACATCTATTGTTATCTTGACGTTGGGTGGCTTGTAGAAGTGAAAGATGCAAACTGAATGGAGATGAATGGCATTGGTTGCTGCAAAAGTTGCCCATCCTCTCTTTAGGTTGCAACGATCGTCCGATGATTTATGCAGGAGCATGGTGACTGAATCACTGCCTGCTGCTTCAACCTGAACGAAGATAGTTTTTTTGCGTCCCATGAGTGGCTGAATGTAGGTCACTGAATATTCCTTGGTAAAGTACTGCAATTGGAACTGCATGTTATTTTTTTAGGGAATGCATGAATAGACCAATGTTTGTCTAGTGTAAGTATACTTACCAGTCTATCTTGCTTCATGAATGTATTGTTCATAGTCACAATATAGAACTTGCTGGAACGCTGGAGGAACTGCCCGATGATGCTGATGTAGTTTTTAATGTCAGGTGTGACTGCTGTATTCCTTGCACAAAAACAGAGATCGTCGAAGCTACGTGTGGTTTCGCCTGTGAGCACACATTGTTTATAAGATTGCTATGTTTAATTGGAAAGAAGTCATGAAATAGGTAAATATGGCTATAAATTCTGTTAGTAGACAATTAATTATATCATGATTGTTGATATGCTAATAGTGACTCGGATTTGTTCTCTGTACTGGTAGGCTTGTGTGATAAAATCTCTGTGGCCAGAATGCGGATACTGATGCGGTGATTTTAGAAGGAAAAGAACTGAGTTATATGTGAACAGATGAAAGGCTTACCTGAATTGTCGGAGCTGGAAGGAATGTCAGTCATCGACTCTGTCCTTGAATCTGACGAAGTCTCTGAAAGATGGTGTTGAAATATGTCATTAGTGTGATTGGCTATAGATTTGTACATATAGGTATATATCATGGAGCACAGGATTGTAGACAAATATTTGTGCACCTTTGTTTGATGTGTGTGAAATGAGCATGGAAGCATGCTTGCTGGTAGGCATGTCATTGATAGTGATTCCTGTCGATCTCTTTGGTGCTGTCTTGATTTGTTTCTTGGATGAAGGGATCATGGGCAGCTTGCTATCTTTTTTCTTGTCAAAGAGAAGGACATTTATCTTTGATGGAGTAAGAACTTGAAAGCGAATGTATTGACCAGACAGTAAGCCAGTACGGTGTACAAAGGTTTTCCACCCTTTTGAGATGAAGAATGATCCTGCAATTTTTTCTAGTTCGACGGTCATTGGTGGTGCGTGCGGTGAAAGCAATGTTACAGTCTGTCCATGGTGTGCATGGCAGCCTCGAGCAATATTGTCCGGCAGCCGCTGTTGTGAGGCACAATGTTAGTTAAGAACATGAAAGAAGGTCAATAGGAAAAGAAAGCGTTGCTGTTCTTACAAAACGAGTGCGTTGTAGCGAAGTGAACTTCAATATAGGTGATGTATGGGTAGGCATGATTGAAAAACCTGAAATGTATGGTAGGTGGATGTCAGAAGATAAAACAGAGCAATAGAAGGATTAATAGGATAACATCTACATTGTAAGGTCAAGAACTGTAGATCTAATGAAAAGGGCTCTGTAATTTTGGAAAGGAAGGAAACATATTAGTATCGATTACACACAGTATAAATAGAGAGAAAATTAAACATGTTAGCTTATGACAGGGCAGCATTAATGTTAATGTGGCGAGTTCTACACAAGGCTGCCATTGTTGCTAGTTTTTGTTGAGCAAAGGACATTTGTAGGGTGGAAGAGCAGCATGGCTATATTAGGGCTGAAGGAGTTTGGATCTGGCATGGGAGATCTATTTTGTAGTAAGAAAAAAAAACCAGTGGTGTTGTCTAGATGTTGTTTGTTGGTGGGGAAGCAGAAATGCTGTGTATTTGGAAGGTGCAGAGAGAGTGAAAGAGGGATGATAGTGGTAGGAGGGAGAACTAACCTCCAAAGTGGCGCTCAGGTGGCGGCGGGAGTAGAATCGACCTTGGTTGATGGCGTCGACCTCTCGACAAAAAGGAAGCGTCGAGAGCATCGCATGGGCTTTGTGGGCCTTCGTACGGAGAGGAAGTAAATACATGGGCTTTTTGGACCTCTGTTTTGTCTGCACATACTTATATTAGTGGCTTTGGAGCATTGGCTGAGCTGCTCTTTGTTGTAGTGCCGTAGGGAAAGTTCGGTTGAGAGCGGCGGCGGCGGCTTTTTCCTCTGATGCATTTGCGCAGATCTGAAGGGATTGTGCTGACCGCGCTTGCTTTGTGCACGGTGAGTATCGACGAAGTTGTGCGAGGTGGGACGGCTTGGTAGAAAGAAAGGAAAGCGCACAGGTGAGTACGATCTTTCAGATTCGGTTTGTCTGCCATTGCTGTTGACCATGAGGTTTGTTTTGTTGGTAAGATTGTTTGCAATGTTTGGTTAGTCCGTGCTGGAGTTAGACGCGAGAGGATGTGCCTGGCTTGGCCGAGTGAGAGCGTAGAAATGTGTAGCAGAACATTTACTATTGTTTGTGATAATTCGTTAAGGTCTGGGCTGATGATAGTAGGAAGCAAATGCTAAGGTACATAGCAATCTATATGGAAGAGGTGCATTTGTTAGTTCCTACGAAGAAAGTCACTGTCTTTCTGGCAGTAGAACAAATTAGGTGTGTAGGGAGTAATACTTGGTGTATTGTTTGCAATGATAGCATGTTTATTTTGGGAAGAGGCAAGATGTAGTTTGCTATAATCAATACTTTATGCTTTGTCTAGCTCATAAGAAATGAAGAAAAACTTAAAGGACAATGTCTTCCATTCTGTAAGATTGGAATGCAATATTTTTGGTTGTTTGGGCTTGTTATGAGACTGATCATCTGTAGATGTGTTTGTGTGTGTTTTCTGCAATAACTCTTCTAGTTGGATATGTCATGTAGGGAGGCATCAGTTATCTGCCTGGCAATGGACAATATTAGCAGGATGGAGAGTGCTCCTGCTGTTAGCGCTGACATGGAGTGGTGTGATGAATTTGGTCTAGGCAGTGAAGAATGGACAACAAAGGTTGAAATTAAGATCAGAAATGTCCCTGAGCATGTGTGTCACCCGGAAAAAATGGAAAGATTAGTATCGTCTTTCTGTGATGCACAAACACATAGTTTTGATGCAATGAAAAAGGAGTATTATATTTGTGGATTTGCTCGTAGCATTGAATCAATCCCAAAGTATAAATACTTGAAGATAAAGTATGGGACAGAGAATGGAGTCCGGATTAAGTTTTTCATGCTTAATCTAGAGGCTACACCGTACGTTGATCTAGAAAAAGATGTTGTGGCTAATGGTAAATTCATTGTATGATTGTAAATTTATTATATTGGACAATTGACTTTTTTTCTATCTATGATGTTAGTACTAATCTGTCATACATACAGAGAAGGATCCTGAACTGTATGAAGATCCAGATGTTGTGAGAGAAGCCTTTGAAAGTCAAGTTAGGCTGCAACGCATTGCAGGTATGAATTTGGTCTGCGGCGTTTAAATGCATGTCGGAACTACATATGGAAACTAAAAGTAACACCTGTTTTGTTGTATGCTGTATAAGATGGTGAGGAAAGCAGTATTTCGGCCGATGGCTCTTTGTGCATGAGCATTGACTCTGACTGGAGCCTGAAGTATGGTGGGCGTTGAATAGAACAACAAGGACATCAGAAAGATCAGTTGTCTATGAAAGATGCCAAGAAGCCAACTATTTAGTTTATTGTATATGATGTGCTATATAATATACAATGTAGCCTCGTAGCTTTTGTGTTGAGTATTAGTATGCTGTGCCGTAACATGTTAGCATGTATTACAGCGTGCTGTATGTAACATATGGGTTGTTTGATTGGTTAGACTGCCGTGTGGGACTGCTGTGTTGGATATATGCATACGTCATTGTAAGATACTAAAGTTTGTAGCTTTTGTGCACGATATTAGTATGGGTTGTTTGTAGCTGGAGTTATTTCATGGCCTACGCTCTCTTGTGTGGCCGGAATCTATCTGTGTATCATAATGTTGCAAGGCTAACCGTTGTGCTATGTTAATATCACTTAGGTATGTCTGTGTGAACTGCATTGTCACTCTGCATTAGCACACGAATATGAAATCTGTTCGTATCTTGCACGAGAAACTATATACTGGTCAGGGAAGAGAATGATGATTGTTCTAGATTATATTTCCTGGTCTGTCTGATTTTATTCATTAGCTAGTTGCTAACCAATAGAGGGTGCTGGCAGCAAGGCCAAGAGGGTTCGATGTGCCGTGTAGGATCCAGAAGACATGGTCGTTAATCAGAATGGAAACCATGCCATTCTGCTGGTAGGCAGGAGAAAAGGAGTGTTTTTTGATGGTAGCTATATAGACAAGGTAAATAAGAGAGAACGCTTAGGTAGATTATAGGGATAACCATGTCTTTGTAGCAGCAGTCTAGAACACACAACAGTAGCAGAAGCAAACATAGGCAGCATTTCCCTACGATAACGACCATGGACGAAAGCCATGAACAAAAGAACTTGATTCTTAGCCTAAATAAAGGAAGGAGGCTCCTTCTGCGCTGTATCCAGGTTGATGGCCTATGTACACATAAGCAAAAGCCTTGCTACGCAACTGCATGTGGAGCTGTTATTTGCTGCATACAAGATGGAAAAGTTTGGGGGTCAGGACTGTGTTTCCATATTGTATTTGCAGGTAAATAATGTGTGTTGTGAGTGGTAACCTACACCTGTGTGTCTACTAAGGAACATCCTTGAAGAGCTTCTTAGCACTTGGATGTAGGAGCGCAGGTTTTTCCCTGTTGAGGTATAAGGACATGTTAGTAATAATGGAAAAAGGGAGTGAAATATAGATGCAAGCAACTTTTATGTAAGAACCTTTTCTTGGCTGTGGCTGTAGTAGCTGATGTTGCGGCTGTTTGCGGAATGTCCTCTGCATGTTTAGCTGTTTGTTTTGCCTTGTAGAACAAAGAATGTTTAGGTGGTTAGGTCTAAGCTTAAAGGAAAGAAAAGCAGGAATACCTTGGACTCAGGAGAATTAGTGACAACAGTTGTTTCAGGAGCATGCTCTGGATGTTTGACCTCATCCTGCGCACAACGATTGGCCTTGCAAGATTATGTATGGGGTGAAAACCTAAATAGGGTGGCAGGAAGAACAATATGGGCAGGAAAGGTAATGACAAGTGTTGTACCTTAATAGCAGTGTCAACATTGGTGCTAAGAGGCTGCATGTGGCACATTGAAACAACGATGTTTTTTTTCCCTGGTGTTGAAGAACTTGGTTTGCTGGTTGGTGTGCTCTGTGTGGGAGTACCAATAGGTGACTTTGTTGGGGTTGAAGTGCTGTGCCCTTGCTGGACGAGCTGTTGTGATTCAGAGCTTGTTTGGCTTTGCTGGGGCCCTGTTTGGACAGAACTGCTGGAGCTTGCGGATGCAATAGCTGATGGTTCCTGGGAAGAACCCGGTGGCATAAGCAGCAGTGGCTCATTTGAAGGGCCAGAGGAAACAATGCTGTTAACCTGGAGAGATTCTTGGCTTCTTTTGACAGTATCACGTGTAAAGCTGACATTCCATGTAAATGTGCTATCAACAAGCGCTGCGATCTCAGCTGGAATGTAATCACTATCTGGTGGATTGTCCTCAATCAGAGATTCCACTGATTTTTTTATGAGGCGGTGTGCAACTCTTCCAAAAAGGATAAATGTAGCATTGGAGCTGGCATCACCGGCGATGAGCACTACTTTATATCTACATGGGTAATATACATGTGTATATTAATGTGTGCAGCACAATTAGTAAGCATGGAAAAATCTGGAATGAGGTGTGGTATGAACCTTGGATCTGGTATTCCTATGTTAGAACAGCTTGAGCATTTGTAGCTAGAACCGTATGGCTTAGAAGTTCTATAGCATAATCGGCATGAATTGTACCACCAGGAATTTTCGCTGCATATCCTCCTAACAGTGACATTGACAATGAAACGTGTACTCTGAAAAAGCAAAGAACAGAAATGATATCACTATTATTGAAAGTGAGAAAATGTGCAGCGATGTATTGAACAAAAAACTGGCAAGGAGGTACCCTGTTCTTGTGAGGATTGAGGGCAAGTATTTCTTGAATAGTTTTTTCCTCTGCAGTGTCCTGGTTGTAACCTGTTGCTGGGTTATCAACCCAGCTGACTGGACGAAAGTTTGCACTGAAGCTACATAGTTATATCACGTTGAAAGTTAACTAACTGTTTCACAAGGAGTGAGAACACATCATGGCAATGGATTATAAACATGAGTTCAAGTAGGCAGCCTCACCTCTCTTTGAGTTCTAGCACTTCAGGAATATCAAGGTTTAGATACCATTTGCACGGCGAACTACCAGTCACTGTAAGACCTGTATAGCATGAACCAAATAAAAGCATAGCGTTAGATGGCTAGAATAAACAACATAGAAGTGAAAATGCGTAGTGAAAACGAACCTAATCCTGTGTAATCTTTGACAAGTGTCCCAACAAAGACAATAACTTGGGCCTGAGTTTGGCCAGCATTGTATACACTATTAGCGTCAAAAGCATCAGCCCTTTCTCCCCAGAGTGTAACAGGCATTGTTGAATTGCTATTGTTTTTCCATGAATAGAAAAAAGGAAACAGTGTGAGTGTAATTTAAGAAAGCAGCAGCGTACTAAGAATCTATGCATGCATCAAAGGAAAAGGTAAAAATTGCAATTAAACATAGGGATATTCAGTCTGAGCAAAGACACCTTGCATCACATATCTGTATTGTTCTTTTTAAGCTATCAGCATTCCTTGACTTCGGCCGCACAACGGTTGGCGAACCAACCTCAGTGATGACACCCATGACATCTGGTTGCATGCCATATAAGCCTAATTAATGATGAGATAGTATGGATTATTGATACAACAAATATAGCTGTGTAGAAGAATCTCATTACCAACATAGAAGATGGTCTTGTCCACTAAATTGGGGATATCACTGAATGGTGTCAATGAAAAAGTTATGCCAGGGAAATCAGCAGCGGGCTCAATGTATTCTTCAAATGTTGTCCATTTACTGAACACAATCATTAGGCTATTGTCGACTGGCCTGTATGTCCTATTCGCATACCTCACAGTAAAGGAGTCAATATAGTAAACCTTTTGTTCCTTAAGCAAAGGCCTCAGGCTGTCAATTGCAGGTGGATAAATCTGAGCGTGAATGCTGTTTCCCTGCATTTTTAAAGTAAATAATGTTATCAAGAGAGTTGGCACTATAGCCTAATAGGCATCGATGAATAAATGTCATAGTCACATCATTACCATCTGATCGAGCAGCACAAGATCAGTGTGGAAAATATTGCCACTGCCGTTGAGATCGCAGAAATCCCATAACCTAGAAACTCTTGCAAGGATCCTTGTGTTTAAGTCTCCACAGGACAGCTGTGAAATGAGCACATGTGCCATCTTGGACCTGCAATGAGCATAGAACTATTTTAGAATGGGTAAAATGGTTGGATAAGATATAACAGTCAAAAGATTGCTTGGCAGGATACTATACATGACAAAAGGCAATATACTATGTACCATACACATAGTCTATAGTACTTGAGGCTGAAAGACATTTATTCCAAAATATATGTACAAATTTGGGTATTACTGTGGTCAAAAATTTCAAGCATCAAGCGGCGGAGCCTGCAATAGTAACACATGCACATTACTCTGCTGAAAATACAACGAAGTGATGAAAAGCAAAAAAAAAAGATATAACGTGCGGGAAATCACCGCTTGGACTGTAGCACTGAGCACTTCAGAGTAAACTATATTTTTTGTCTGTGTACCACATGATCCATCATCATTTTCAATTAATATTTTTAGCCCTGATCGGCTTGTTACTCTTGAAATAGCAACGTATAATTGCCCATGTGTGAAGACAGGCTTCCTAAGATATACGCCAACCCGCTGGAGTGTTTGACCTTGGCTTTTATTGATGGTCATTGAATAGCAAACTCGAACAGGGAACTGCCTTCTCTGCAGTGTAAAAGGCCATTTCATCTTTGTGGTGCCAAGTGTGATTCGAGGTATGTAAACAGTTTCACCAATGTTTGATCCAGTCAGTACTATACACTGTAAAATTCTGTCTCCTAAAACTGTGACTAATAGCCTTGTTCCATTGCATAACCCAATTGATTGATTAAGATTTCGTAGCAGCATTACGACAACACCTTCTTTAAGAACAAGTTTATGCGTTGGAAAGTTAGTAGCATTTATTGAATTCAGAAACTCTGGGGGGTATAACAGATCGAAATCTGGAATTTGCTCAGAGCTTTTTGATATGGTATCACAGCTTAGGTATACTCTAGAATCTCCTGGCACTAAACCAATAATATAATCGTTTATTTCATCAACCGTTGTATTAGTAGGACAAACAATTGCACGAGAAGCCAGATATTCAATGTCTCTGTAGCACGTAAGGAAATCTGAGTAAACCTCATGAACAATAGCAGCTATTTTGTCACCGCTAGTCATAACAAGTAAATCATCAGGAATTGTGATCCATGCAGGATAATTCTCACCTTCCTTTGCTGTCATAGGTAAAGTGCCATTGCCTATAGCTAAAACCCATTGACTAAAATCATGCAATTCTTTTTTTTGATTGTCTGGTAACATTGGATTGAGTAATCTCATGTTTATATTCAGGCTGAGTAGCGCTACATGTTTCCATAGTTCTGAGTTCGTGATAGATGCATTGATTATAGCCTGACGGGATCCTTTAGGAATAACTGGGAGTATTTGTTTGAAATCACCACCTAGGACAATAGGCTTTCCTCCAAAAGGTATAATAGAATTTGAAGGGCATGTCTCTGATAAAATATCTCGTAGCGTTCGATCTAATGCTTCAAAGCATCGCCTATGTGTCATTGGAGCCTCATCCCATATGATCAATGCAGTTTCAGCTAAAAGCTCAGCAAGCATTGTGCCTCGTTTTATATTACAGATGCTTGTTTCATCAATGTCAATTGGTATTTTAAACCGAGAATGAGCTGTCCTACCTCTAGGCAATAGGAGAGATGCTACCCCTGATGAAGCGACAGCAAGAACAATCTTGTTTTGTGATCTAAGTTTTGCAATTATTGTATTCCAGAGAAATGTCTTGCCAGTTCCACCATGACCAGACACAAAAAAGAAACCAGGTTCATTAGCGATAGCACGAGAACAAATAGTGTTAAAAACAGTTATCTGGTCATTATTCAACTGCTGTACGAAAGAGTCTGCATGCATAGCAAGCATAAGTGGGTCAATTGTGATTTCTTCATCGATTAATCTATTAGTACCAAGAACATGTGGAACAGATGATGGATGTGGCAGGTTAAAATCTTTGATATTACCACCGCTATTTGCAAATACAGCAATAAGCTCATGTAGTAGCATGTTAAGCAAGTGGTCATGTGGAATCACACAGTGTGGATTGTCAAGGGCCTTTTTTAGCCTGTTATGTATGTCATCAGTCATGTATAGCCAATATTTATCAAACAATGAACGAACATCACCCACAGAACAGTAAAGAAGGACTGTCACAAAAAGTTGTCTAAGCTGCGCTGAAGACGCAGTCACTATGGCCTCATCAAAAAGGAGATGCCATTCATTATCTCCTTCAAGAAGCCCTCGTGCCTCACATGCCTCTCTATACGTGCCATAAACAACACCATCGTATGTGCGAACATCAGCATAGCTTTGAGCACCTTTGACAATCATTAACAACATCCTAAGATAGTAAAGCTCGCCCGCAGTTGGATGCACATAATAAATTCTGCCAATTTTAGGAGCAGGTGTTCGCTCGTGCCAAGTTTTAGATGATGGCTCCCATGTCCATTCCTTAGGAAACTCACAGTATGTCAATGAATGGGCCTTAGAATTTTTTTTGTTAGTTTCAAACCATTCAGTAAGCATAGACCGTTTTGCACCAGGACTCTCAAGGACTGCCCGTAGGTCAGCTCCCTTCTCGTATCTCACAAAGTTTTTCCCAGGCAGATGGACAACCAATCGCTCAACAGGTGGCACTCTATAATGTATATCAAATTCAAATAATCGATGAAGTGCCTCACAGGTTGAGAGAAATCTTGCATCCATGTATTCTAATATTTCATTGCGTGGAGCAAGGTCATGATTTGGTGATGCATTTTGTGTTTTTCCTGTTGTTTCAAAATAGATCCTAGCTCGGTCATGGCCTTTTGTAATATATTTAAATAAATACTTTATCAAATTTGATTTGTTACACCACTCAATATTTATGTGTGCCTCATATTTTTTCAGTAAAGCCATGTTGTAGGGTACAACTGATCTATTGTCTAAAAGGATCCCATTCTTCATGATAGATCGTCCATCATTTCTTCGTCTATAGATTGTAAACCCAGATTCATCAACAATGGTTTCATCTTGGAAATCTTTAGGATAATGTTTTGAACATTTATCGTTTTTCATACAAGGACACTTCTTGTTCGCATCACCGCAAGGACCATGCATCATAAACTCGCTAACCAATTCATATCCTAGCCGGTCGGTGTCATAGTCAGGTATTTCAGCACAGATAAACCCATCTATTATAGAGGCTGAGACATCGGCAGTGGCAGCAGCAAGCCAAACTAAGCAATGTATGTGTGGAAGGCCACGCTTCTGGAATTCAACAGTGTACAACACTGTAATCATTAAGAACAAAGGTTGATGAGTGCCACACCAATGGCCTTAATACGCTATAAACTAACAAAATTGTGACCATACCTGCAAGAACTTTACCAAAAGTTCTGCCTTCCCTAATATCAGTTATAAATTCATTAACTTTCATGTTAAACACACGCACAATAATATCAGCTCTATCAGATGGTTGTTGGCCAGGCTCAAATCGAATCGCATCTGCAATTTCTTGCCATTTGGAATTACATGTGTATGTGACAAAAAGGTCAGGAGGCCCATAGACACGACATATTGCCATCGCATCTTGATAATTCATGACCATATATCTTCTTCCTCCAGTGAAGCTAGCAGGAAGTATGACACGCTTGCCAACTGAATCTCCATCAGTGACACCTTTATCAATCGCATCAACAATTCCATCTACAGACTCAGAGCGCAGCTCTTTTTGATGATCGATGAAGTACTGTAGCCTATTTGTTTCAATAGTAGAAAATATATCAACATCGATTTGATCGCTCAAGCGACCATAGCATGTGAAAGGATTTGATTCATTTAGTCTGTAATGCATTTCATATCTATAATATTCTGGCATCGTGACATACTTTTTGCCAATTCCATCATAGTTACTGTATTTAATGCCTAAATGGAATCCGCGTTCACCATATGGAAATAACAAAGGATATTGCAATGCCATATAAGATGGATGCAAGGGAGAAATCTGGCGCAGGCCACGACCTTTATCGTAGACAAGCACATCAAATTTGTATTCTTTCGCAGAAAAATCACCTACTATAATAGCAGCTATTTCACTGTTCGTTGGTAAATTGTATTGCACATCGTCTTTTGCATTGCAACCTAAAAGGCGAAGTGTCACTTGCTGATTGCCATGCTGAATAACACGTTCTCTAGCATACCTAAAGCTCTGGACAAGAGTATTTTCAGCATCAAGCATCGATGATAGGGCACGAATTATCTCAGGATCTGCTTTATCTGAATTATCACCGTCGTTTTCAAATATATTTAATCGGTTTTGTAATTCATTTTCTGGATCATACACATATAATTGCGCAAATTTGGGAGGTGAGCCACAGGATGGCACAAGAGTACCAATCCTATGGTGCACAACTCCATTGATCTTGAATACATAAGGTGCATTTCCAGTGTTAATCGATTTATCAATAGCTGCACCCATTGAGCTGAAAGCAAACATCGAATTATACGATCGTATTTGCCTCAAAAAATTTTTCGAACGTGCATCACCATTATAGTTCAATAATGATGCTAGTGGCTCAGGAGGGGCACGCAGTTTTGGCAATTGTATGCGTCCTCCTTTGCAACATAGATTGTAAATTATTTTTCTTTTTGAAATAGCAGATGCACTCTTGACCCTCTCCTGGTACCAGAACATGGCACGACAATACGGGCATTCATACGTCGGAGGGCCATAGTATGATTTGTCTGGGTATGATGCTGCCACAAAAGCGCTGGACAATGTCAAAAATAGTCTCGTGTAAAAAAATAATACATTACGTGCACGTATTCAGAACAGCGGCCGAACCCTTTAGCAATCGGATATACTCCTTGTCTGTCCGGGAGGAACTACCGTTGGCTCGTGCAGTGCGATTTGCTGCGAACAAAGACAGTAAAACGGCCTATGAACCTAAACTGCACGAAAAAAAACAAGCCTACCATCACAGACAACAAAAAGAGCATACCATCCACATTGGCCAAAGGAACGGACGGATCCATCTTTGAATGCAGGAGGGAACGCCTTTGCCTATTTAACTTTGCCAGCTGAGGTGCAAAATCCATCAACGAACATTTCCTCTTGCACCGACTTTCCTGATGGGGCTGCCCTAGCGGAACGATAGCATGTTCTATATGCATTGCACTCTGTTGGGACAGAACATTTGTGGCCCTTCTCTGCCGGCTGGCACGTACCCTACGCACTCTATCCATAGCATGCGTTTCTAACTGCCATCATAATTTTACAGAGGCAAGAAAAGAATGAAGCAAAGAACACGGGCAAAAAAAGTGGCTCAAACCACACAGATACAGTGAACGAACAATATAAAACGACCGAAAGCTCTGGAGCAACCACATGCAGATTTAGACAGCGATGAATGCAGGCAATAGAAACAAAATACTAAACCAATCAACCATAAATAAAGGACAGAAAGATTAATAGCGCGGGAATACCTTTAGCAAGGAATATGCTCGTCGACAGGCAGAATCCACTAAAACGCACCACGAAGCGAACACACAAGCTGTGAACAGAGGCAAGGAAGAAGACGGAACAGAGCTGCAGAGAACGGAGCATGATCAGTGAATAAGAATGTAGGAAGCAAAGCATAACACAAGGCCAATGAAACCAGCAACAACCAAAAGTACCTGCTAGGTCTTAGAAGCAGCCCGCACACGTGCAATGGAAGATGATCAGGAACCTTTAAAGGTCCATTGCAGCCCATGCAGATCGCCTCCCCTAAATGGAACAAAAGGTGCAGGGTCAATGCTAGCAAGAACAGCCGCGCAGTCATAAGCAAACAAACAAGAGAGAACAAACATAAAACCCAAATGACAGAACGGACAGGAGAACCACACGCATTGATCCAGGCCTTACCACGCCATAACGAAAAGTTGAACAGGAGCAAAACGAGTGGGAGTTTCTCGAGCAAGGAACAGAACAGTGGAGCGAAGAAACCGACGAGAGGAGGAGAAACCGAAGGGAAGAAAGAAAGAGAAACGCAAGTAGTAATATATACAGACAAAGATAGAAGGGGTTCTCCGCCGAGCTGCAGCAAGGAAGCAAACAATCATGTACACCTGCACACCAAACACCCACAAATAGGAACCAAACAAATGGCTAGCTGAAATGACACTGCCCCACCTATCAGCGATATAATTGCAGCGCACCTAGCTACAACCCAAGAAAACCTGACCAGAGATTAGCTGTGTTCGGCTGAGGGAGCTGGGAACGCGCACAGTACTTTTCCTCCGTGCACGCTTTTCAAACTACTATATGGTGCAATTTTTTATAAAAAGTTTCTATACAAAAGTTGCTTAAAAAATCAAATTAATCCATTTTTGAAAAAAAATTTAGCTAATACTTAATTAATCACGCGCTAATGGATCGCTCCGTTTTCCGTGTTCACTGTGCGCGCTGGGAATGGATGGAGCCGAACACAGCCTAACAGCATAGGCTGCAGAAGAAGAAGACTGCATGGACCAAGCCGAATGAACCAAGCATCCAAGCGGATTGGACATGGCCCAGGACGCAGAGGAACGGGGCGCATACACCAGGACCACAGCGATGCCTGATATTGACAACCCACGCAAACGCACCAATAGCGGAGAAGCCATCACAGAGTAATCCCACTACAGGCGCGGTCTCCAACAGCATATGGTCCTAGACCGTAACACACAGGTTCAGAATAAAGCAGACCCACCGGCCAGAGAGAAACTGTGCCATGGACACAGCGCACACGCGCACCAAGCGACCAAAGCAATCTGACACAGCAGCTAAGGCAAACAGCATAGACCTGTTCCACGTTAGGTACGAACAGGCAGAGGCCATGCGGCCCACACGGCAGCCACAGGCAATCTGTGGACCATGGCTACCTCAAAAAACAAAGAAATGCACCACGCAACGCATAACACCGGAGAAAACAATGGCAAGGACACCCACCCTACCCTGCGCGCGGTGCAATGCACCGCACACAAACCAACCAAATGAGGCCACCACACAGGGAACAACACGTGGCGGACGCAACGCAGAGAACCAGCGGACGAGAAAAAGGAAAATGTGGCATGCCAAACGCACCGACGCACGATGGTCATCCAACGGCGGAGAACGCGCGCAACGACCGCGCTCCAAATCCACCGCTGGGCTCCGGCTGGATGACGTGCCAAGCAACGGCAAGGGCCACGACAGCGTAAATCGCCGCCCAGAGCAGCCATTTCCGGCGAGTTTGTATATAGAAGATTGAGAGCAGGAGACGCATGCATGCTATGCTACACCCTGTTGCTGCTAAAACCCAAGCACACATCATTTGACATGGTACTCACTGTCCCAAAACCTGCAGTTATATATCACGTTGTGAAATTTACGCCGTGTTTAGTTGCAAAATTTTTCTTCAAACTTCAAACTTTTTTATCACATCAAAACTTTTCTACACACACAAACTTTCAACTTTCCATCACATCGTTCCAATTTCAACCAAACTTTCAATTTTGGTGTGAACTAAACACACCCTTATACTACTCCCTTTGGTAATTAATTTATATAATATGTCCCTAAATAGAAGCAAAGGTGTGGTATTGTCTTCTTGCTGGCTTATCGGCTATAGCTAAAATTTGAATTTTAAGACTTAATTTTATAGTTCATTTTCATGGTAGTTCATTTTTCTAGCATTGACTTTTAACTTAAGGACACGAATATAAAAGTTTTATTCATAAAATATTTTTGATGCTTTGTTTTTTTTCGGGTGAAACTGAGTATCTAGTGCCCTGATGCTTCAAAAGTTGTCAAGTTTAGTTGTTTCACAATATTCGAACCAAAATGGTTGCAAAATTCAAACCGCGACTATGTGATACGTACGACATGGGAAAAAAATGGGTTACTTTTCTAAGAAATCTCTAGATGAAACCTCATGTTGTTGAATTTTGAAGGCGCATTCGCGGATGTGTGCATGAGCCTGATTCTACATATATATAACCTGGTGCCGTTTTGGCTTTCTATAAAAGCCGGGCCGTTGGCGTTTGATCTAAAACATATATAATTGGATAAAAAAATGGCAATGCGATGGATGATCCATCCATCCAATGTTAACTAAATTTATTTGATTTCTTTCCCCCTAAGAGCCAGCCACAACAGCCCAAACTTATTTTTGATTCGTTTGCCACATGCTCCCCTGCCCCCCTGCACTCCTACAAGGCCCCCCCAAAGAATGATTGATTGGTTTGGGCCAATCCAAACCAAAGCCAAATTCCCATATAGGAGTGTGTGTTTGTGTGTATTTACAAAAATTGCTCCAAGAAATGGGGGGCAATTTTCTCTCTGAATCATGTATCACTGTCATCACACTCCCTTCTTAATTTCTTCAGTCTTGACTCCTTTAATTTTGCTGGTGAGATGATCAGACATGACGGCCACAGTAACATCACCGACAGCATGCTGCAGATTAAGCATGGATGGATGCATCCAAAATCATGTCATGAACAGTGAGCCTGAAAGATACAACTCCATGAGAAGAAGCTTGGGATTTGTATATTTTGCATCATCATCATCTCTGTCATCTCAACATGCACATTAGTCCAAGGGCACAGGCATTTTCAGAAATGATAGAAGAGGAATTAAACAAAAGAGTCAGATAAAATTAATTCTTTAATACACCCTCTGATCCATAACAACTCAATGCTCAGATCATCAAGCATGCACTTGCTAGACTTTAAGTCAGAGACACCAACCAAGAAAATTGACAAGAAAAAAAAAATCAAGCTCAGGAAATTCAGAGAGAAAAAAAATTTCGAAAATTCAGTTCACCTATGATCCATGTTCTCCCCTCATCTCATGCTTGCTCCCCTACATTATGACAAAAGGAAAAAAAATTCCAAGAAAAAAAAAGATGATAAATAACTTAAGTTTTTTTTTTTCCTCTTTTCTCTCTGCTTCGATGGAACAGTGAAATGGCAATGCTAGGTCACTCCAGCTTGAGCTGCGGCGGCGACGGTGGCATCGGCATCGGCATTGGCGGCGGCGAGGGCGGCATGGACATGGGAGGAATCTGCGGCGGCGGCGGCGAGGGCGGCATGGACATGGGAGGAATCTGCGGCGGCGGCGGCGGCGAGGAGGGGAGCGGCTTCTTGGCGAGGTTGTGCTTGTTGTTGTGCATCCAGACCTTGAGGACGCGGCGCTTGACGCCGATCTCCTGGCAGAAGTGGTGCACCATGGCGTCGTCGAGCTTCTGGAGGCGCCACCCCACGCGTTCCGCGAACTCCAGCATCCGCGCCTTCTGCTCCGCCGTGAACTTGGTGCGGAACCGCTTCTTCGACGACGACGACGACCCACCGCCGCGTCCCACGCCGCCGCCGCCGCCGCTGACGTCCATCTCGTCGGACTCCGACGTGTGGATCATGTTGAGCGGCATGATGATCTGGTGGTGGTGGTGGTGGCCGTGCGGCGGCGGCGGCGGCGGTGGCGGGAGCGCGCGCGCCGCGGCGTAGGCGGCGCCGTAGGGGTCGCCGCCGGCGACGAGGAGGCCGCCGCCGTTCTTGTGGTGGTGGTGCGGCAGGGCGGGGCCGAGGAGGTGGTGGTGGCGGCCGGCGGCGGCGCGGAGGGCGGCGGCGCAGCTGTCGGCGTCGAGGTCGTCGGCCTCCTTGCGGTGGAAGTTGCGGTGGCAGCCGCAGGCCGAGCACTTGAGCGCCTCCAGCGAGCCCTCCTCGCCGCTGGGCATGAACTCGCCGCACCCGTCAGTGGCGTTGCCGCCGATGGCCGCCGCGTGGTTCTTCAAGCACTCCCTGTACTTCACCGCCACCCCACCACCACCACCCACCACCGCCATGCCGCCCCGCTTCTTCCCCGCCACCGGCGAGCCCTCCTGCTCCGCCGCCACCGCAACATTCGTCGGCGGCGGTGACGCCATCGCCATCGCTTGCCCATTGTTACCCACATGCTCATGGCGGTGAAGCTCCACGACATGTCCACCGCCTGCGCCGCCGTGCGCGCCCATGCCGGCGAATGGCGACGCGGCGGCGGAGGCGTGCATTGGGATCGGGAGCTCGCCTTGCGCCCCGGAGAGATCCATCCGTTCTTGAAACTCAAACTCCTCCTCTTCCTCTTCTCCTTCTTGTTCTTGTTGCTGCCTCCTCACTGCAAAGATCCTTGTTGCTGCTGCTGATGCTGATGATGCTGGTGATGCTTCTGTTCTTGTCTGCAGCTGCAGAATGGAAACCATGAGAGATCAAAGGGGGGAAAAGGCCAATGGTCACCTAAAACCCACAAGGATGCAACAAAATTCAGTGTTTCTTGGGACTCTCAACACAAGCCACTAAACAAAGAGAGGAGAGAGAGAGAGGAAGTGGAGAACAAAAAGGGGAGCTAAGCTAAATAAGCTGAGAGAGGTGCATGGTGTGGTGTTGTGGGAGGGATCTTGGGGACCTTATCAACAATATACTACTACTACTACTACTTGAAAACCCCAAGATGGAGATGTAATTAAATTACACTACCAAATAAAGTACTACTTTATATATAAACATGTATGTAAATATAAAATAGATAGAAGCTTATTGTTTCTTCTAGGCTCTCTCCTTCCTTTCTTGGGCTCTTCCCCATGCAAAACAAGATCAGAAGAAGAAGGAAGGAAGGAAGGAGAAGCTTAACCTAACCTAGCAGCTAATCACTAGTACCTGGTGGATGGAAGGATGAAATGAACAGTGAGCTTGTGTTTTTTCTTTTTTTGCCTTGTGGTGAATAAATGCAAGTTTTTACAACTTTACCACACACCAACAATGCCACCACCACTTGTGAGTGCTAGCCTTTTTTCCCTCTGTGGACTAAATGTATCTATCTACTACCTTGTATGTATACTGTATGGACCAGCCCACAAAACACACAACACTACATTATATTCAGAGTTTCAGACAACACAAAGACACACACACACATCCATACCTCTTCTCCTCCCCTTGACAGACACAGCAACAATGGCTACTACTATAAGCTAAGGAAGGAGGAAGAGGAGATCAGGCTCAGCTCCCATGCATGCACAGATGTTTCTGTGTTTTTTTTTCTTTTGTGTGTGAGACCACATACAGCTACAGCTATGTTTTTTCTTCACTTCCCTGAACTTGTTTGAGCATGAGAGACAGACAGGAGAGAGAGAGAGAGAGAAGGGAAGAGACCAAAAGCTAGCAAGGGGCAAGCTTGTTGTTGTGGTGTGGTGTCAAGGGGGGTAATCAGGGAGAGAGGACAAAGAAAGGGGCAAGGGGTTCAGTGTTTTGCAGCTTCCACCACCATTGCAGTGAGTGAATGAAGTGACCAGGGTGCTATAGGGGGCTATTGCTAGGGCACTCTACTACTACCTCCACCAACAACAACCCAAGTGGAGGACATAAAAAAATTATTAACAAGAGAAAAGAAACTTGGAGCTCACATGTACTTATGGTTATGGAGGAGCTTATTAGCTAGACATAGATCTAGAGAGAGAGAGAGTAAACTTAGAGAGAGAGAGAGTAAACTTAGAGAGGATGAAGAAGAAAGCAAGCTAGGTAGGGGAAACTGAAAGTCTGAAGCTCAGCAAAGGCTAGAGCAAGAAGGATGAGAGATGAGATGAGATGATGTTCTGAGCTTATATTTTTCAGTGCTTGCATCTTGCATGTGGTGTAGAAGTAGTACTTGTTGTAATCAAGAGAAAAGAGATGAAGAGATGGAAGAAGAGACACTGATGAGTGAGAATGTGAAATGAAAAAAAAAGAAGAGAGAAATTAGGCAATATGTCTGGTGCTTTGCTTTGCTTGCACTATCAGGAATCCAAGCTTACTTCATTCAGAGGGAGAGAGAAATGAGAGAGAGAGAGAGAGACTGTGGTGTGTCAGGGAGCAGCACGAGCATGCCTCCACTGTGATTTTCTTTTGTTTTAAACTGCAAAAAAATGATAGTCTTTTCTCTTCTCTCTCATTTCTTTTGTCAGGATGGACAGAGAGCCATACAGGTATAGAGAGAGAAAGAGATAAGCAAATTACTAAAATAATAACAAAGAAAAATGGAGTTTGACACTTAACTTAATGCACTTATGGGCTGTATGTATGTATTCACAAAACTCTTGTGCTGTGTATTTATTCCTCATGCATGCATAAGCAGTGTCCTAATATATATCAATTCTATTGTCGGAGAGCCATTCATGACTTGATCACAGGTCATAACTACTGCTATATATATATGCACAGAGTAAATTAATCTATTTATGTTTTTCTCTACCAAGATAAACTGATGTAATACATGTTTACACTACATATGTACATAAATTAAACACAATTGCGTATTTCAACTAAAGTTATTGGCATTATAGAAAGCTGACATTGTTCAGATGGATCATGCATGTAACAGTAAAACAAGAGTTCAGATTTATATAAAAAAACTCACATTTAACATATCACAAGTGCAAAATCTTTAGCCAAACTTAGAAGTTAAGCTGTCAGACTCGCACAACAGGATTCCAAACGAGTGAATGTTAATGTTAACAACTAAACCAAATAATGTCCAATTTTCATCCCCCAACAGAAACAAAACTCAGAGATAGCTGGAAATGTAACGATTTCCATTATAGAAAATTAAGAGAGGAAAAAAACACAGACTAAGCCAAGAAAATATTACTATATTTTTAGATCATTTTAAACATAATTTCTTTTACGAAACCCTGACACTAGCATATGTAATTAATAATAGTAGGAAATAGATCTGTAATCTACTACTAGTAGCAAATACTAGTAGCCATGGCGAAACCCAAAATGCCCATACTTTTCTGTTGCCTTTGATGTTAACAGGACAGAAACCATGACAAACCTGTAGACAGAAGCCAACACCCAGACAGATACCCAATCTCTGGTGGTCTGAAACACGCCACGTAATTAACCGGTAAAAATTCCCAACCACAAACAAACATAATTATTTACTTGCTGCTAACTGAACTTTTTTTCTAAAAAAAAAAACATCCATCTCATTTATTTGCTGCTAACTGAGAAACTAAAAAAATGATAATCCATGCCCAGCTTAATTAGGCACCAATTATTATAGTAGCAAAAGTAACAGTATTATATTAGACTGTTGCAGAGGAGTATATAGTGGGTTTGTCTGTATCAGAGAGGGGGGTTGAGTATGATTGTGCCCTAAGAGTTGACCACAGTGCATGTCCTAATGATAACACCCCATGACCACACCAATAAACCAATCATCTAATGCTTCCTGGAAATGGGCACCACCAGCAGAAGCAGAAGCAGCATTGCAATTTTGCAGGCTCTCAAGTTTTGTCAAACCTAGCATGCATGCAACCATGGAACATACTACTATACCAGATTAAGGGGACAGGAGTAGTTATCTAACTTTCACTTTTGGTCAGATCATGAAGTGAATATAAAATTAAACTGCCCTGATTAAAGTGATAATTACTAAATTAACATGCGCACCTATTGTCAAGGCATGTTTGAGGAGTTTTTGGCAGCTACAACTTCTCCCACAATTAAAAACTCTTTCAAATAGTTCAGCTTTTTTTTTCAGATTATAAGAAGTTACAGTTGTAAAATCTAGAAAATGATCTAAAAGTCATAAGCTGGTTTTACCTGGCTTCTCCAGATTCTTACCAGTTGGATTTCCGCCTGTTGTTTCTTAGAATTTAAGGCTCCCCAACCAGAGTCTTAGTTTAGTTATTTAGGAATTAGGATATAGGTACAACAAGATGTCATCAGATGAGATAGAGAGATAGAGAGAGATTCTTATGTATCATTGGCCATTTGCATGCATGATTTTGAGTTTGGCACCTACTGCATCAGCTGATCAGCTCACCTTGGGGTGTGCAAAGATATTACTACCTGTCCTCAGGCCCACTTAACCCCAAAGCTTTGGATCCTGAAACTTTTTTTTTCTTTCTTTCTTTCTGGTGGTCTCTGAATTAGATGTTGGGTGTGCAATTGTGCATGGATGCATGCTTAGAATCAAGAGAGCTACTGATGAGTAGTGAGGTTGTGTTGTCCTCACACTGCACAACATTCTCCCTGCCTAGAAAGAAAAATTGCTGAGTCTTTCTTTAGCAGCAGGGGGTAGCAAAGCTGCAGTGCTTAGGGCACACATGTGGTGGAATCAATTCGGATTAAATTATTATCACCTCGGAATTAGATTCTCCCTCCCTTTTGAATTGTGTGTGGGGAGAGAAAGGTCCTAATCACTTCTTTTGGTGGTGAGTATATAAAAGTTGCTAAGCATGCAAAGTGCACACAGAATGATCTTTAAGGTACAAACAAGACACCCTCCTTTTTCTTTCTATCAACTGAATGTCCCCTAGATCTTTGAAGAATGTTCACCCTAGATATGATCTTTGGAACAATATAAGGCTGGATGATCCAAGAATATCTCTCTCAAGGGCAAAAGATTAAAGATGCATGGATCCTTAGCTTTTTCAGGATTTTTTAGTTTTTTTATTTTGCTCTACCCTTTTCCTTGCTCTCCCTCCCTTCTCCTTGTATAGCTGGTTTATTCCTAGCTGAGCTAGCTCTGGAGCTGCAATTATGTGTATTCTTGCCTTTTTTTTTCCTTGGTTTTTTCCTCTTATCTTTGCACATCCTTATCACTTTATTCTTCACTATGTAGCTGCTTTATTCTGACTTAAACTTCATTGTGAGTGCCTTTTGCCAGCCTCCTTTTTCATGTTTACTGGGTCATTAATTTGTTCATCTTTAAGTTGTGTTTGACTGTTTTGAGTATTAAGGAAACTAAATTTATGTGTTTGAGACCATTTTCAAAAACATTTTCTAAAGATTTTTAGATAACCGAGGCTTGATTTTGTTAAAATGGGTTTATGTACCTAAGCGTTTGAAAAATCACTTTTAAGATGCTGAGAAGTGCCTATTGCCTATTTTGGCAGAGGAGTAAGTCTTATTTTTGCATGTCACGAGTAATTATCGAGAACCTGTCAAAGTCAACTTTGGTATAACTTGTTATTGCGAAATTTAGGAATGGACGGTGGATTTATGATGTGGATGTATGAACTTCATCCAAAAGAGCATATTCAGTTAAAGGAAAACAAATTATAAGAGTTTGAACTGTTCTTTCTCTTTTTCTTGGAAAAACAAGTCGTCAAATGAAGTGTAAGTTATTATGCCACGTCACCAGTTCAGTTAGGGCCAGTAGTTTTCTAGATGGCTTATTTTATACTCCTTCCATTTCATATTGTAAGACTTTCTAGCATTGCTCACATTTATATAGATGTTAATAAATCTAGACATATATATGCGTTTAGATTCATTAACATCTATATGAATATGAACAATGCTATAAAGTCTTACATTGTGAAATGGAGGAAGTACATGTTTTGAGTTATAAAGTCAAATTAACTTGGGCTTGGGTTCGGGTTGGGCCTTGGTTAACTTGGGCTACATAGGTTTTGGGACTTGGAGTTGGGACAATATCGATGCATGTGGAGTTTTAGCTGTTTTAGAAGTTGCATTTAATTTTTATCAACCTTGCTTACCATACTTAGAGTAAAAAGCAACTGTTATTGTACGAGTTAAATATATGTGAGTTCTATCCTGTGCCTATTGTAATACAAATTGTACATTTGAACATATAAATCCACAGATTTCAACATAGATATTTTAGCGACTGTAGTTTATTGTGACAAAAATATGCAACGTTTCAATATGATCAATTTATGATAAAGTTGTAATGGAACTCTCCTTATACACTTTAAAAATCCCATACCAACCCGGACCTTACCCCTTATGCTATATTTATACCATCTTTAAAATTGTACAAATTAATATTGCTAGTATTTATTTCTCTTATTTTTACCGTAGCATATACTACTTAAAATTAAGCAGTCTTCCATCCGCTCATCCTCACCTTGCATAGAGCGCAACCACCGGCGCATCAAAGTCATATGGACCCCAAGTCTATCCCCAATCGTATAGGTCCATTGTAATGCACATACATGTTACTAGTAATTAAAAAAAGTTGTTTATGCTCCTACGTGATGCATCTTCAAGAAAAATGAAAACAAGGACGGTGATTGCGATGCATGTGTTTTTGCACACGTCGCTCTGAAAAAAGTTCATGCATGGACCTCTTCATGAGTCCCATGGCATGTGTACATATCTAAGCAACAAACGGACTCACTCAATTGTTGTGTTCTGTGTGTGTGTGTGTGGTGCATGCAGTAGCAGTGCCATGATGATCAAACCAAATGCTTCTGCAGGCCAAAGAACCAGCTATGGCTATCCCCAAATTGAATTGATCACAGGGATTGCCTTGGCTTTGTGTATTTAATGCCATTAAATGAGCAAGGATTGTGTGAGTTGGGTGTGTAGAGATTGAGGGAGATCAGGTGGAAATAGAGTGCATTGATAGTCACACCTTCAAATGAATGATCATCAGTGGTATGCACTTAAGGAAAGTTTTAATACAGAATCTTTAATTATTTACTGCAATGCTGGATGAGTAGAGGTTTTTTTTTTCATTTTTTTAGTATCAAAATTTTGTTTAAATGCCAATGCAAAGTAGTAGCTAGATTTTTATTATGTATAATTCTACACTTTTTTTTTGTAAAGGGCATCTCTAAATGGTACGGGAGTATTTCTATGATGGCCACTATTGACCATTAATTCCTCTTATAAGGTTGAGTTCGTTAGGAGGAGACGTGAACAAATCTCCTGCACACGGAAAACGGAGCGGTCCATTAGCATGTGATTAATTAATTATTAGCTTTTTTTTCAAAAATAGATTAATATGATTTTTTAAGCAACTTTCATATAGAAACTTTTTATAAAAACACACCGTTTAACAGTTTGAAAAACGTGCACGCGGAACACGAGGGAGAAGAGTTGGGAACACAGGCTGCCAAACACAACCTAAGTTGTTCATAAAACTGTAAACTAATTGTGACTGACTAAAAACACTCAATTGGTGGATTAAGATGGTTCGTGTCATTTAACTAAGTTGAGAACCAACCCCCTACTCCCGGACACAGTACATGACTTCACATGCGGAGCACGCTTTGATCGTTGCTTGGAAGGGAAATTTTATTTTTCAAAACCTAGGTTGCAAAACCCAGGTTGGCGTCCCCACTACCAGAGGCTCTACCACTACACTACATTTGTCACTACCACATCAGTTTTGAGCCGGGAAAATCTTAAAGACACGCTCTTTGTGAGGATTTTCAGAAAATAGAAACATAGCTTTTAACATTAGATGCACGTGTATAACAATTTTGGTTGAAGTATTAAAGGATTTTTTCTAAAATATTTGATGCAAGTGTAAAATATCTTAGGAGAAGTATTAAACAAATAGAAGTCTTTTTGACTTTTAACTTTTGTTTGAGATAATATTTCAACATAAAAGTATGAAACTAGACTCTAGACCCCTACTCACATTTGTGTGTAACGCACTTTTTGGTCCGGCATGTGTCACTAGCTCTTCAGTTTTGGGCCTACATGTGACACATGCTGGGGAAAATCCTGAAGATATGTTTTGTTTAGGAACACAACTAATTTTTCAGATATAGAAACATGGTTTTTCATAAAAACTGCAATGCATACATTTTGGTATTAAAGTATTAAAGAAATAAACAAGTCCTTTACGGAAATACAAATAAGTCCTTTTATCCCCTCAACTTTTGTTTTAGTTTATATTTCAGTGTAGTAGGAAACTAACTAGATTCCTAATCCCCCCTCACATGGCCCTTGAAGACATTCTCCTCGGTTTTTCGTCGAACTAGGTGCCAACATGAGTTTGCTTTTGATAACATGGAAAACCCAACTGTAAGTAGTAAATAAAATTAAATATTATGTGCTACCCATATATCAACCTCTCAATCCATCTTCATACCCAACTCTCTTCTCCTTTTTTTGAGGAAAAGTTAGAAATATCCAAGATTTTGCTATCTATATGCCTAATTCCTAGGGAAAACTAACTTGTGGAGTAAGATCATATACTCGAAACCTAAAAAATAATCTTCTATTTTGCTAAGAACGGAATTTCATCTTCATAAAAAAACAACAGAATATTGAAATAACAATACAAGAAATAGAGGATAGTACACATATTAGAACAAACAACAAAAAAAAAATCCAAGAGAAACATTTTGCGTTGAATTGAGTTATACCTCTACAATTGAAAAGAAGAAGTCATGTCACAGCATCAAAGAGTCATCAAGTTCCAATACCCTACAAGGTCAAGATGACATATTTGTGAAGAAAAAAACCATAGGAAAACCATGAGTACAAAGATTAAAAGATCTAAATTGTACTAACCTATCACTTAAAATAGAGAAGAAGGAGGAGATAGAACCTTGTTTAGCTATAGATATGGCTCAATGAAGAACTAAGGCGGGGAGAAGGTTGATATATAAAGACAAATGGAGAAGGTGGATATCATAAAGGCAAATGGAGAAGGTTGATACTATAATGGCAAGTAATGAGATGGCCATATCTGTGAGATATGACATAGTAATTATTATATATATAAATTACACGTTGCACTCCAGATCACCAAAAGATGCCAAATGGATTTCAAAATCAAAACATGGTTCGGCACTTGGCATGCATGCACAAAATATTTAAATAACTCAAATTAATTCCTCAATAGACTTTCTATAGGGAAGTCACTTTGACAAAACTCAAAGACAACAAAATTGAAAGCTTCTAGGTCTCTATGACGACTCCAAATATGTGTGTGTTTGTATCAGTACACACGTTTCCTCAATAGTCATGCATTGTAGTAGTCTAATTCAGTTGACATTGTAGCACCTCTCACAAAAGACAAAATGTGATATAAATTCAATGTTGCATGACTAATTTTTCATATCTACATCATTACATGCACAAATAAGCGAATTAATGTAGTGCAAATGCATCATGCAATTCTAACGTTTGCAAATATGTACATCAGTATAGTCAACTTATTTCAGATGCAGCTTTGCAAGTTGGAAACCATTACTGACATTGGGTCCCCAGGAGCAACCTCTTCGGTTCATTAACCCATTGTCTAGTTCAGTGTATGCGCTTTGCCAAAGTTTACCCTTGATGGCTAGCTGATGTTTGTTCTACCAGGCTCTAGAAAATATTTGAACCCACCATTGATTATTGATTGGGATCTTTCCATGGCCATACCTAAAAACCTGAGGCGTTGGTCCTATACATATAATGGGACCTTCTATTTAAAATGTCATCGAACAACAGACAGTAAATTCCACTTTTGGTTATGTATATTGACTAAAGTTACATAACGGACCAAGGCTATACCCACCTTAATTTTCACCCAATGCCATATATTTTATAATTCATTGCAAGGGGTCTCCACTATGCTTTGCTTGTCCACATGGCGGACAGTGACCTTCTATGTACATTAGGACATCTATCGATAGATCTAGTATCCCTTTGTAGCTATGCCCTCTGTAACAAGCAAGAAATGTGTGCAATCAATAATGGGTAGGCTTATGGGGGGAGAGGGAGGGGTGATAAGATGGATATATGGATGACCGATGAATCTTACCAATAGACAACGATGGTGGCGCTTTGTTTGAGTCTAAGAAAAACGTTGTGTCCTGATGCAACAGTTTTGTTTTCTTAATTAAATGTAAAAAATGAAATCACATCATCGTTATAAACTCCAGGTCTTTAAGACGATTGTGATTACTAGTCGAACACTTATCATAGCCAGGAAAACCATATTCTATCTAGATCATTGAAGGAGGACGAAGGAAACTTTAGAAAATGGGATGAGAATGCCCTCAAACATATATTATAACCTATTGGCTTGGATCAAAACATAAAAATTCGGTGACCTTGTGAGGTTGCCACTTTGCACGTGCCAATGTATGATCTAGCGACCGCACAACACCTGCATACCAAATCTAGCTAGACTTGTACTTCATGAAAACTAATCTACTTTGAGATTATTCCAACCATTGTGCCATTTCTAGCTATTTTTCACTACCTCAATTCTCTACATGAGTTCCTCAATCGTTAAATCAATTCAGGTAACTTTCCAATATTAGTAAAACTAGGCCATGGACATGGATGAACCCACCAATAAGGCAAGGTTTGGCAAGGCTGGCAAACATTGTCATACCCTGGGCTTCTTTCTCTTCAGCAGCAACTGAAGAAGAGGCCACGCCGCTGGAGTTGACGAATGAGTATAGGACTATGGGCTTAGGGTGGGCAAGCGCATGATAAGACATGTTTTCCTATAAGCCCAATACACCAACCATAAATCCCATAGCCATGTGGTGCCGCTTGGTCTTCTGCCCAAGTGAAGCAGTGATTACCTTACTATTTAAAGGTTTGCTTGAAATGCCGATTGATATAAGATTTTTGTTTAATTTTCTAGTTAAAATGTTGAGGCTCAAGTTGAAAAGTTGCTTAAATACACCATTGAAAATTGTATGTTTAATTTTTAAAGTCCTACAAATTGTTGGAAAACCCTCCAAATTGTTGGTTTATATGAAGATAAAATGTTGTTGCATACTTTTATTGGGATATTTGGACTCTGTCGGTGTATTCTTCTAATAGCACATTGTTTTCATGCATTTGCAGTTATTTTATTATTGTTTGGTGAGCCATATGTACTAGTTTGTGTAGATATTTGATTTTGATGCAAACAGACATAATCCATTCATTGTTGCCACTTCCCTTGGTGCCATATCTCTTTCCCTATATTTGGTTGAAATGTGTTCACTTGAAAGTGCCAAAATATATTGTGATATATATTGGACCCCTTACTTTAACTATTGTGACAAACTTTGCTCCTATATATGTCTTGGCTGTCTAGTACTTAACACACTGGAGCCACAAAACCTAACAGTCTCCAAGGGCCCTTTTTATATAGCAATTGCGGGCTGAATCACTATTCTTTGTTTTTTATTTTTAATGTGTGAATTGATTTTCTTGATCATATTAATTGTCTCGGACTCTTGGTGTTGATAACGACTTTGAAGTTCAGACATTGTGAAGGAATTGCCATGCTTTTAGCTGTCGTCTTTAGTTGGCAAACAGATTGTTGATATTGCTTCCCCAAATCGGTAGTTATAGAATTCACTAATCTATCAGAACTTCAATTACCACATTATATTGACTAAGCTATTAGAACTTCAATTTTGTAGTAGGATGATGTAGCATCATCAATATAATTCTCTAGACACTCTGTTTTGCATAGTATATTCGTGATGATTCCTCTAGAAAGATGGCATACGGAGTACTATAAGCATATATGGAGTCATCCATGCAGGAGCTGAAAAGAAGGGAACCTTTTTATTTTTACATTAAGCAGTGGCATAATATTATTCTTAACACTGAAATCTTCAATTTTTCGCCATGTTAAGATTTACTTTGTTTTTCGCACTATCATTAATCCTATATATCTATAAAGTTCATCCCCACTAAATATAGTTAATGTTAATTCTATCTTCATGAAGCCACATCACCTGAATTGTTTTTAGCCTTTGAATGATTCATCAAGGGTGTAAATTGTATCTCATCTCCCCAAAAGCCACATCATACAACACAACCATTTATAACCTTTGGATAATTAATCGAGGTGCAAACATATAAGCACATGAAAGAAAATCATATAGTAAGTAAGATAGAAATTTTAACAACTCATATATACTATTTTATCACAGAAATCTCAACGCGCTGGGTACCTATCTAGTTAGTACTAATATTATAAATGGTTTAGCGTTCGGAGGTCCAATTAAAAACTCTAGCTTTCCTATCAGTACGTATCCAACTTCTGTGTGCTTCCAGATTCAAATTAGGTGGAGACATGGAGCTTGAGTCATTATCAGTTGAAATAGAAGGGCTGATATTATGTTAATTGGTGAGACAAACTCAATTAATTAACTAGATGATATCCCATGCTTTACTATAAAATGGGTGGATAATGTATGTTAAATATTTTAGAAATAATGAATAATGATATGTTAAAATATAATGAAAATAATATATGTAGGGATGATGCGGTACACTTGTATGAGTTTTAAGATGTAATCATTGTTAGTGCATAATGTGATATATTTGTATGTTGAGATTTAGGATGCATTGAGTAGAAGTGGCTGAAGTAAAAGAAAATAGACTAAACTGAAATATGCATAATTTATATAGCAAACCAAATAACATGTCATGTGACGAACAATGTTTTAAGTTTATTTGGAGGATTTGCACAACTAGACAGCACACATGTCAAGAAGGGCACAGGAATCAACCAAAACTACACTTGTTAGCCATAATTTGTTCGTTGTTCTCCACCTCATATATGAGAGATAAAGAGATAAACCTAAGCCTGAGCATAACTACACAACCATTTCTTTCCCTTTATCTCTATGCTTATCCATGCTTATCATGCCATAGGTCCGGATTCCTTATCCATCTTTCCACACATATCAAGGAAGCACTTTTGGCTAGAATTTTTGGACTAAACGTTATTACTCCCTCCGTTTTATATTATAAGTCATCTGACTATTTTTCTAATCAAACTTCTATAAATTTGATCGAACTTATAAAAAATAAATTAGTATTTTCAACACAAAACAATAATATTATCAAAATATATGCAATATTAGATCTAATGAAACTAATTTAATATTTTAGATGTTGCTAGATTTTTCTATAAACTTGGTCGAACTTAACAAAGTTTAACTAGGAAAAAAGTCAAACAACTTATAATATAAAATGGAGGGTGTACTATCTTTTTCTATTGGACCAATAATTCATTTAAGAAAATTAAGTGAATATTGTGGATCATAATTACCGAGTTAAGTACAAAATTTTGGTATCCCACACTACAACAAAATCGATGTTTGCATGCGGCTAAGCAGCCTGCATGCACCCAAGGTGTCTTTTCGCATGCGGTCACTTATACCGAGCGCACACGAAAATAATTTTCACAAATAAAATAAAATGAAATCACGAAACACCAAATCGGTCGAACCCTAGCCCGCCGCCGGCCAAAAGCCTAACATCATCGTTGCCGCCACCACCGGTGTCGTCATTGTCATGGTGTTCGCGGTCCGCCGTCATCGTCTTCGTCGGATCCACCGCCCACCATCATCATCGTCGTCGGATCAGCCGTTGCCGTAGCCTGTGAGCCAGCCACCATCCCGCGCTGCCGCTACCGAGGGCCCCCACTGCTGGATCCGCGCGAGGGAGGGCTGCCGCCGACAGATCCACATGGGGCGGTGTCACTGCCGCCACCCGAGCTCGCCGCGCACCTTCGTGCGAGATCCATTGTCGAGCTCGTCGGCACTCCAGCCCAGCGTTGGAAGCTCTTGCCCGCTGCCGGTGGCTGACCCGCTGGCCGTTCCAGTCCATTGCCGCACGAGAGGGGAAGGAAAGGATAAGAGAGTGAGAGATAGAGAGATGGGGGAGGAGAGGATAAGAGAAGAGTGAGAGTGTGTGTGTGAGAGAGAGGGGGAGGAGAGGATAAGAGAGGAGAGCTGAAATAGTGAGAGGATTTGTTCTTTATATTTAGTTCCCAGTATTTTTCGCAAGCGGATCTCCTAAGTAGGCTCCTGCAAAATTCTGATTTTCGCATGTTGACCATTATATAGAAAAAAACACATAGAATCCAACTTGATGCATGCCTAAATATCCATCAATTGAAGAAATATGACACCTTACAGAAAAAAAATATCTTCAATATAACAAGCAATTTAGTAAGTAATTCTAACCATCCTTCATTAAAAAAAAAGAGTCAAATGCATGGAGGGTCATCCAACTTGTTCAGGTGTATCATATATGTTATTCTACTTTCAAAATACACATCTTAATCACTAATGCGAATTAAATGAGTCATTTAGCCATTTAACTTTCCACGTGAGCACACCTTGTATATATAGGATGCCACCTAGGATTGAAAAAAAAAATTACATCTACACATCCACAGCCGCTACCTCATAAGATTTTGCCTTCATCACTGTTTATAGTCATAGCTTGTCATCGCTGCCTCCGCCTAGGATTTTGCCTCCGTCACTGTTTGTATTCATTGATTGTCGCCGTTGGGTTTGATAGTAAGTGAGAGAGAGGACTAAGATATAGACGAACTCATCAAAACAGGCACAAGTGAAATGATTAGGTTATAGTACCTCTAATTTCGTGTATTTCCAAATGCTAGTGCTATGAGAAAGGGGAAAATACACGTACTGTTTTCTGCGCATGTTCAAAAGTAATTGTTTTCAATCACAGGTGGCATACCACGTGTACAAAGTATACTCATGTGGACAGTTAGATGAGCAAATGAGCCACTTAAATTACATTAATTAGTGATGTATATGTATATTTTAAAAGTAGAGTGACCTATATGACACACCTAAACAAATGAAATAACCATCCATGCATTTTACTCTAGAAAAAATGTCACCATATATATGCACAATACAGCCACACAATGAAAGCTTAGCTACATGGAAAGATCAAAAGAGGCACAGTTGAAGCATGAAAACAAAGAGCAACGATATAGCACACGTGCTCTCCTAGTTCTTTTTTTCTTCCATTGTAATCATGACTAATGGAGTAGCAAACATTCTATTTCTGCACACCACTATGCTACCCAATCTAGTTATGAGATCGTGTATCTTTTCTCTGTTCCAAGGTAACACCAACCCCATCGACCAATGAATTTTTCCCCTTTTTCTGTACGAGAAGACAGCAAATCTAGTAAATCTATGTCTCAAAATAGTCATTTATATTCTCAATAATCAAAAAAGCAACCGTCACAATCTCGCTCGATGAAATGAAATCATGAATCAAAGGCTGATTATTCATTTTACCAATCTCATATACTACCTCCATTCTTTATCTTCTTTACCTGACATTCCAGTATCCGTAACCATCAAAGGCCATTAATATGTTTAAAACTATATAAGTTTGTGTTAAATATAATTATACAATTATATTCATCACATAAATTCTTTCATAATATTATTGTTATAAATTAATTTAAATTCACAAAGTAATGGTCAAAGTCATATCCCGAAGTCCCTAAATAAATAAAAAAACGTCAAGTAAAAAAAGATCCAAATATCATGCAAAAGTCTAATACAAGCTAGTAGAATTCATATATACAATTATTTAATTTAGCTCTACAGTACACTTACTGTAATGTTACTTTCTTATTACTAATATATTTATAATCAGTCAGATGATCCTGACCCACTGTTTTATTTAAAAAAAATGTAAAACCACTTGTCCCTACTGCTTTAATCTTATGAGAAAGAGATGAAAATAATTTATTGATATTTAGTTGTAACAATGTATACTGTGAAACCAAATGTTTTGAAAATCACACATGATTAAATTTGAATCCTGAGCTGGGTCCAATTAGTGATCAGGGCCTGCATATGCTGACAGCAGACAGGATAATATTGGATCAACCTCAATTATTATCTCGTTAGGTGTGTGTGACAAATAACTGGCAATGGCACAAATCGGGCAGCTTGCTTGCCCAGAATATATATCATATCATTACATGGGTCAAGTCTGACAAAAAACTTATGCAAAGAACAGTGGCTGATCAGGTTCAGATGATGGTATAATTAATCAGATTAATTGCTAGCTAGATCACAGATGGGCCAACCCCTGTATGTGTCCATTGATCTTCAGCTAAATTAATTGGGGACAACACTGCAGTTGGGAAGGATTAATTTCCTTATCCTATTGTCAGTAAAATGTTAATGGTCTTCTGAGGGCCCTTCGGAACACAATGATTTTTTTTGTCGATTCTTATGGAAATGGAACATGCCCAAAATTTGAGTGAATATAATTTGGAAAAGCATTTCTGGGGAATTTCCTCATAGAAAGAGATACAACAATGATATTGGGGGCAACATGAATATTACAGGATCACAAACATTTTCTCTGTTTTCATGGGGGAATGGATAGCCATTGTTCTAAAGACATTGAAGCAAGGTATGATCTTAACCATGTCAATGAAATATATTCATTCCGCTTTAGAGAAAACAATCATATTCATAATGTTCTGTAAACACCTTTCTTAGTTATATACAGTACATGTTCAAATACATGAGGTAGCAAACTTAAAAGCAACAGAAAAGAAGGGCGAGGAAGGTAAAAAAAAAAAACAAGAAGAAGAAAAAGAACATACACAACAGAAGATTATTAATAAGTTTGCTCTAACTGATCATTTGTTATCACCATGTGTAGAGATCTAATTCCTCTCCATGAAGTTGTTGATACCGTTGTTTAAGTAAAGATAACCAAAGGGGAAATTCCATCTGCAAATCCTTTGATAACCACAATTGTTGAACACAATCCAGCTTCTGGGCCCACCGTAAAGCAGGACATTCAGATACATACAAAGTTCTAACTTGAGGAAGATTTGACAATCTCTCCAAACCTTCACACTTGCTGAGTAAAAGGGAGTCAGAAAGGAAAGTAAGGTCTTCCACCACCTTCAAAGCTTGAGCCCTCTCTATGTGGAGCCATTTCAAACTGGTCGCCTGCGCTAGCTGCTGAGGAAGAGCTCTAAGCTTTGGACAGTCTCCAAGTTCCAATTTCTGCAAAAGAGGCATCACTTGCAAAACCATTTTGTTGTTTTCAGTACAACTCTTTCCATCTGAAGCTCCTACTACTTCTTCAGTGAATGACCACTCCTCCCAATTGGGCATATCTGATATGACTAACCATTCAAGCTTGGGAAAGGCTATTGTCCCCAAGAACCTGGGAGTAGCTGTCTTGTCACAAAGAAATTCAGGTCCAATCTTGGTTACAGCAGATGCTCCCATGATCTTCAGACACTTCAAGTTAGGCAGCTGACCAACCGCCGGAAGATGTGCCCAAGATGCGCAATCTATGAGTCGCAAGATTTTCAGCGAAGATAAATCGGCGCCGAGCCAGGTAGGATACCTTTGACCAAAGGATCCAGCAATACTAAGATCTTCCAGGTTGCATGGAGGTTTTAGTTCGTCAAAAACATTCTCAATATTGGTAATATCTTCCATGGTATATGACTCCTTTGTGTGTGTAGTGCAGCGTAGATTTAAGAATTTGAGGTGTTTCTTGTCTAGTAGTGATGAAGTACCACAAGGCATGGCATTTTCCAATCTTATCATGCCAAGTCTCTTCATTTCCGAAAGATGACCCAGCTCTTCCAAGTTCCATCCATCTTGCTTTCTGGTGTTAACATAGCTATGACCAACAGGGAACCCTTGTAGATCATTAAGTAATGACAACTTATTTATTCCTCTTGGCACCTGGTTTATTGGTGTATCGTCAAGACCAAGGCACCTTAAACTGCACAGCTTGGTGATTGCCATTGGAAGATCATGCAATGCATAGCACCTCTGCAAGTTCAATATTTGCAGGTTTGTGAGAGAACCGATGGAGTCTGGAAGACAAGATATATCGGTAGCATCAAGATCAAGCAAACGTAGATGGATCAAGCTGTTGATGCTATCTGGAATTCTTTGTACAATTGAGCCAGTCAAGTCCAAAACTCGAAGATGTGGAAACCTCATGAAGACATCACTATCTATGTTTGGTGACATGCAAAACATCAAAGTCCTTACTCTGCAGTGACCTTTTTCAACCACACTTGATAACATATCTGTTTTGTTGACAATCGAAATACGTCTCAGTTTAGACCAAGTAGTAGGCTCTAAAGGTAGTTGATCAAAATAGCACTCTTCTCTTGATAAATGTTGAGCAAGATACCTCAAGAGATCATGCATTTTGCACCTGTAGTGATCGAAATAAAAAGGATCTGGTTCAAGAAGGTGCCTACAAATTAACTCATGGTAATATTCTTCTGCTGTATCTTCTAGTAACTGGCCTTCTTGCTCTTCGACAAAGCCTTCTGCAACCCAAAACCGCACAAGATCAGCATGATGCATCATCTGACCTTCGACATAGAGAGCACAATAAAGGAAGCACTGCTTTAGATTGTGTGGTAGATCATCATAACTTAGGTACAAAGCACCTCTAAGTTCAGCTGGAAGCTTGCTCATAGACCATGCACTGCTTTCTATAACTTTTTCCCATGTGTTCTTGGTCTTCTCCTTGGTTGCTAGAACACTAGCAATAACCTTGATTGCAAGAGGAAGACCACCACATTTGCTGACAATCTTGGTCCCTATGTGTTGCAAGGTTTCCACTTCTTTCTCTTCTTTGATATTCATACTCTTCCAAAGTAGCTCCCACCCAACATCTGTCGACATCATCTCAACTCGATGGAGATGCTCTGCTCCGACTCTTCGCACAACCAACTCATCTCGAGCTGTTACTAAAATTGTTGCTTTAGCAGCATCATGAAATGGAGTTCGTACCACATTTGTCCATACCTCGGACTGCCATACATCATCCAATACAACAAATAAGCTTTCATCTTTAATGGTAGAAGCAAGCTTGCTTTGGAGCTCTCCAACAGTTTCACCTTGCCTTTCATGTACTCCCATATTCCGAAGTAATTCTTTCAAAAGGTTAACTTCAGAATATTCTTGAGAAACACATATCCAGGCATGTTTGCTAAAATTACCTTTCACTCTTTGATCATTGTATATGTTTTGAGCTAGTGTTGTCTTTCCAACTCCACCCGTTCCAACAATTGCAACCTTGAATGCCTTCTCTTCCCTGTGAGTAAGTATCATTTCCACCAATCTTGAAGTAGCATATTTAATCTCCTTCCCCACAAGGTTGGGTTCCACAAGATGGGATGTATGTCTCTTACTTGGTGCAAGTACTCTGTAAGTAGCCTTCACATTCTCTAGTGCTAAAAATGTCTTGTCAATTGATATCCTCTGAAGATTATAGTTGACCCTTCTAATCTGGAGCGCAATCTTGCGATGAGTCCAAACATTGCGAACGCAAGACGTAACAGAGAGGTTACAACATGAAATATATTTTATCGGCAATGGAGAGAGTGAAGAGTGATTTGCTAGAAGCTTACTGCCCTCAAATTTGGCCATGTCAATAATATCATCTGCATCATAGATAGCGTTCTTCAGCTCACCAAGCCAATTGTTAACAGCCTCTTCTTCTATCCTCCTCTGCTCTGCATCATGGAGAAAACACTGTATTTGTTTCATCCTCCTCTGCAGTTCTTTGAGCTCTTCATCCACACCTAGTATCAATATTGCCTCTTCCATGACAATGCCTTGTACCTTTTTTATACATAATCCAACAAAAGAATCTAGTATGGTTGCCATCAAGCAAACTTCTCAACAAGTAAATTCCTGTATGTTGCCAATCGATTTACAGTGCTTATCAATGGGTATCTTGAAAGCTATTTCCAGATTCAGCAACTGAGTTGTACCCAGTAAAATCTGGCAGAAGAAATTACAGCTCTGAAACATTCAAAATTTCAAAGACAAGCTTAGTGAAATAGTTGAAGCATGCCACTCTATCCACAAAGAAATCAACTTTATTTACCATACTTGCATTCATTTATCATTTTGAGGGGAAAAGTATGAACAGCATAACACAGATAGTATCCTTTGTTTAATTCCACCAGCCCATCCCAACATGATATAAACTAAATTTTCACTAATGTTATTATTGGCTTTCCCTAATTAACATTTTTTCTTTTACCTGATGAAGACATCAAGTTTAGCGCCTTAGCCCAGCACCATGCATTGAAAACTCTCTTTTGTCTTCAGAAGCTGATGAATTAATCCGGAAAGCTTCTATATAGATCTGAAAAGATCCCTTTGTTGCTCACTTGAATGACACCTGCACTCCAAATTCGAGCAAGTTTCAAGAGTCAAAAATGAAAAAAAGCATCCAAATAGAAGGATATCTTTGAACTGAATCAAACCTAAACATCCAGTTATAGCAGTCAAGGGTTCTTGATAAATTCAGGGAAATTATTCACAAGGAAGTAGCCGAAGAAGAAAGAAGCGGGATCTGACCTTTGAAATCTTTGAATGCGAGGAGAAATATGCAATCTCCAGTTCCCCTGTCGCAGCTCGCAGTAGGCAAGAAAGCCTAAGGCATGGACATTGCACTACCTGCCTACTTACTACTGCAAACTCTCTACTTTTCTTATCAAGATTCTAAGTAATCTCCAAGTTGCAGTAATGTTTGACTTTGGACCATTTGTTTGAAGCAAGTAGTAGTACTGAAGTCTGAAGATGCTTGACTTCTATCAGGCTCCGTTTAGTAAAAAAAAAAGGGTACCACAAATATAAATATAACAAGATTTCATATTTATGTACCCGATTGCTCCTGACTTCGCCACTTATGTGAAACATGCAAAACTTTTATTAAATATGCATGCCTGCTACTATTGTGGCAGGAGTGTGTGATCTTAAGATTCTTAACCCCATGGTTATGAACAGGAACAAAACATTTTTCCCCTTTACTGAAAATACACCTGTAATTTTCGGTTGCCCAAATTACCAGTGAAAAAAGAAGTACTAGTAGCTGGTATGTTTGGCCGTTTGGAATGTGAAGCATTCTTCAGGAAAAAAAAAAAGAAGATATGTGATGTTAACAAAGCACAACATCTTTGATCGATTTGGGGCAGCATCTTTGATCGATTTAGGGACGAGAATTAGAAACTGAGTGCAAACATTCCAATTAAATTACATGCATAAACATTATTACATCATAGCTAGTCAAAATTCAATGGAAATACTATTAGTTCTCAAACGCAGTAAGTAAACCCATCCATCATAGCAAGATGGTCAATGCCTGAAGATTACTTACATCGAATTTATCAAATGACTCAACGAATCGATTAAGGCCGGAGCGCGGCGACACAGATCGAGCCCTCAAGATGATGATGAGGATGCGGATCGATGAACGGGATGACGCCCAAGGCGCAGAGGATCGAGGTCGTGGGAAACGCTGGCGATGCAGATTGGGGACACGGACGCCGACGACCCCGCCGCAGGAGCTCCGGGAGCCGGCCGCAGGAGGGAGGGAAGCTGCCGTTACCGCCGGTGTACGGGGTATCGTACTCATCGCCGCCGCCGCCGCCATCGAAGCCGTACAACTAGCAAGTAGTAGCTCTCAGAGCGGAGCGTGGAGGGAGAAGCCGAGGAGGAGGATGGCGATTTGTGTAAAAAAAAAAGCGTCAATTTCATGAAATGAAATATACTAATTCCTCCGTTCCAAAATAAGTACAGCTATGGTTTCGCGCCCAACTTTGACCGTTCGTCTTATTTGAAAACTTTTAGAAAAAAATAAAAACATAAGTCACGAGTAAAGTACTATTCATATTTTATCATCTCATAATAACAAAAATGCTAATCATAAAAAAATTTCAAATAAGACGGACAATCAAAGTTGGATGCGGAAACTCATGATTGTACTTATTTTGGGACGGAGGTAGTACTAGGTCCAAGTCACAAAATCATTCAAATTTTGTCACATCATATATAAGCTTGAGTAATGACTTTTAAAGTATGATTAAATCATGCGGTTAACCATTTTAACATATATCAAAAATTATTAAAAAAAATGTAACATTTATATGAATCAGAGTCTTGAGTGTATCAAGTAGTAGAGCTTATCATTGCTGATGATGAATTACATAATCTACTAGTACTAACCACTTATCTTTTATCAAGGTTACATCTACCTCCTTACAATTTACACGCACAACCATCTAGTGCATCACAAATTCCTACATACATAAATGGAGTTGATTTTCTAAGCAAATCACTGGCTAATTACACCAACTATTCTAAATAATCTGGCATGCCCAAATGAACTATCAATAAGCAAAATTATGCCACTAACACAAACATCCACGCTCTCTCCATTTTTACCTTCGATGAACAAATTTAGTTAATAAAAAATAAACCAATAGCACCACAAATAGAGATAATGAAGAAAATATCTACATCTCTTTGCTCTCTCCTCTTTCTATTTTCCTCTCCAACTAAATATCTCAACATTAAGGAGAGGGGGATGATCTCTATACACCCTCACATATGTCACATTTTTAGTAGTGGTTATTTTATTATACGCAAAAAGATAATAAAAAAAACATGCAACCTACGAAAATCATTTTGCTAGTAGTTAATAGTATATAATATAAAAAAGACAGTATTATATCATATGCCAACATTAATACACATGTGTTAAGCTAGACAATATAGAAACCCAAATTATATATCGCAGCATACACAATTTAGCCTCTCAATCTATTGGCCACACAAGGGCACATAAGCTCTCAGACCACGGCTCTACACATAGGGCAGGTAGCATGGTGAGCCCTAACCCACTGCGACACACTGGTAGTGAAAAACATGGCCGCAGGACAACATTCTCACCTCCTGAGCCTCGTAATCCAGGCGAAAAGAAAATTATTGAATGTCACATCGGACGTTTGACTGGATGTCGGAAGAGGTTTTCGGATACAAATAAAAAAACTAATTTCATAACTCGCTTGGAAACTACGAGACGAATCTTTTGAGCATAATTAATCCGTCATTAGCACATGTAGGTTACTGTAGCACTTATAGCTAATCATGGACTAACTAGGCTCAAAAGATTCGTCTCGCGATTTCCCCCCTAACTATGTAATTAGTTTTTTAATTTATCTATGTTTGATACTCCATGCATGTATCCAAAGATTCGATGTGATGTTTTGAGGAAAAAGTTTTTGGAACTAAACAGGGCTAAACAAAGTGGACACTCCCTGCTGGCATCTACCGGTAGTCTGTCCCCTATAGTTGCAAAGGCAAGAACACCTATGTGTATCTAAACTATCATAAAAACTACTGTGAGACTAACCCTGCTACCAGTGCTATCTCACTACCACTGAGAGTGTCCGGAACCACCGATTGCCCCATCGTAAAATAACACCTGCAAAACAAAAACTCATAAATATATGTCGCTTAATTTGTTTAATTTAAATATATTAATTTTTTCATGTATTTAGCTATTTAGTTTTGGTTATGTTGGAATGTATAGCCAGTACCAAAATTATGATATATAGCTGAGGATATGCAAAACATTGTCTCAAATAGGGTTAGACAGGCAGTCAGCATTTTACCAATTTAACACTTCCATCAAACTCGATCTACTAAAGATATTGCCATGCATAGTGTCGACGTTTGATGTCGCGATTCCGGTATTTGTATAGTATAGGGATCGTTGGTACTAGAATATATGCGAGACTGAGGTAAAAAGACAGAGACGAGGATTTTTATACAGGTTTAGGCCCCTGAATTGTCAAGTAACAACCCTACATCCTATTGGCCGAAGCCGGTATTGCTCTTATTCATCATAATCACACCAGTACAATATTTGGGGTAGCCTATCTAACTGTTGTCGATATGGCGGTCTGAAGGTCTGACTCGTAGCCGACAACAGGGTAGTCTTCCTCCTCGAGTTTGTGTTCGGCGAGATCAGAGACAGCGCTAGATCCCTACGGCCGGCCTCTGTAGGTACCGGATATGGTCGATCTAGGTATATCTCTGATGTCGATATCCGGCGGCTTGTCTTGGCGTATGTTGGCTTTTATGTAGTGGCTTTTGTTGTTTCGTATATGTTGATTGTGGGTGTGTTCCCTCTCCTCCTAGGGGGCCTTGTATTTATACCCATAGGTGTCCCCTTGTCCAAGTAGAACTAGGGAAACCAATATGGATACAATCCGAGTAGTCCTTGTCGTTTCCATGTAGAACTCCGGTTGTCTTTCCTTATCTGGAACTCCTCCTATATCCGCAGGTTGTTTCCATATAGGACATGGTATGTGGTGGGTCCTGCCGAGATTTAGTCAACTACTATGAGGTATGTGGTATCCATAACCCTGACAGTAGCCCCCGACTTCAATGCAAATGAGTGAGTTCATATTCTCAACTGCAGACCTTGGAGGAACTGTTATCGAGCTCACGTGACCGTTCTCGGTGAGTTCAGAGATAACGTTAGACTTCCTTTTTCAGCCTCGTGCGGGCACCTAAAGGGTTTGTCTGAGTCAATCTCCGACATTAACCAAGAAAGTACAAAGCAGACTACTAAGTCTCCCGTCTTGCTGTAATCGAGAATTTGGATTGAAGTCAAGAAATTTTATCTTGGCGGGTACACCATCTTTTCATTCCGTATTCCTTGTCGATATCTACCAACCGTTCTCAAGTAATCGAGAAGGCGCAGAGCCTGCGACGAAGCCTTGTCAACATTTGTCGTACTCGCCTTAGTCGATCTTGGTATAGAACCATAGAGACATGGAGTCTTCGATAATGCCAAATAGAATTTTCCTGAAATCAATACTCAGAAAAGAATATTAGATAGAAATAGCCCCCGAGCGAATGCTCAAAGGGTGATATGTTATAATATGTATGGAAAACTGAAAATGAATTAAATTTACAGACCAATGTTTTGTATATGAGCGTCTACTCTTTTACCGACTTCGATCAGTCAGTTTGTTAAGTTATACACTCTCCCTAGCCCCCAGCCTTGTTGTCGGAGAAATCGTTCTCGGAAGATAATGCTCTTGGACCTTTGACCTGCCTCAATTGAACAAGCACTGATTCTAGCCCCTAGCCGTGAAGTTGGAAAACCCAATTTCCGATTACACGGCTTGGTTAATACGCACGGCGAGAACTCTTACACGACCAGATCTTAATGGTCTTTTGTCTCTACAGGATCCGACAAGGCCTTATCGGTTCTGGGCGTCCCCAGCCGAAGTTCCCTTAGGTTCCTCGGAGGCCTTGTCAAGACGGCGTAAAGGGACAGTAGGATAGGTTTCAACGCTAGGTGTAATCGTGGTAAGGGATCTCTGGGTAAAACACTTGGCGATATTGTGTACCTGATATCAACTTTGTTGAAGTAGAGGTAATGGGAGAATTGCTACACCTCTGGTCAAGAACCAGGTAAATGTAGTCGTAACTCAACCACTAGAAGTAAATGTACGAGAGATCGCTACGATTGACTGGTTGAGAACTAGTGAGTAGGTGCCTCTCGATCATTTGAAGTCATGGTATAAGGACCGCTGCGTTATTGCTGTAGTCATACCTCGACCATCTGAGGTTGCGGCACCAATGGAGGTGCTAGAGTTGGTTTATTACATGTGCGTCTCATGTAGCCAGCATGACTCACACACTCAACTTATAGCATATCCGGATGTCCGTTCACAATCATGTCGGGTGACCAAGCCGAGGCGTTCCCGAGGAATTATCCGTTAACAACCTTTTCTCGAGTAGTCCAGCCATGGCCAGTGCTATGAGATAGATCGTCGGTCTTCGTTGGTAGGTTGGGCGCGACGACTCTGCATTTGTCGAGATCGTTCTCGATAATGTGGTGTACTTGACCACAACCTACTCGAGTGCTCAGTTGTTTCTGAAAAATATTTTCTAGAAGGCAAAACATATAGCAGATAATATTGAGTATGTACTCAAAAAACCGCATGGATCTTCTAGTATTATCAGGACATAACGAGAAGATGTAAATATCAGGCATTATGTAGACCGTAAACAAGCATGATTTATACAGAATAAAACAGAGCGAGCCCCAGCGTTAAACCGCAGTCAATTTAACATCGGGGACACTTGCACAATAGATATTATATAAAAAACATGCTCCAGGTAGACATAATAAACTATTGATCTGACAATATTGTATGATATGAAAATAGGTACGATAAATTGCAGATAAATTGTTGCGTACCTGTGTAGATATATGCCGGATATATCTACGAAATTAGCAGATTAACTTAATAAATTACCCTACTAATTACCTTAATTGATTTGCATACACCGAATAGGTATATGTGCTGATTTCCATCCTGTGCACGTAGCAATCCATCTTGGTGTACTAGTCAATCTGTACATGTCCGTATATGATGTACATTGCTTCTTTCTTGGCCGGTAACCACCTGAGGTGTATCGCTCTGACTCCAATTTTGAAGATCGCATGTGATTAATCAACAGACTGGTCACATGGCTCTTTGTATTAGCGGCTCTGATCTGTGCATTGCCTTCTTTATCGTGTATTTGTTGCCGTACATGGGCTCACTGGTTGCCTTGCCGGGATCTATTAGTAGCGAGGAAAGAAACAGGCAAGGCAGCGGAGTCCGGCTCCCATAAAGCAAACAAACGTACATGGTCGCCGAAGGAAGCTGTCCA